AATAAGGAGAAGCCCAAAACAAGAAGGAGAAAGGGCAATGTTGTACTCACCTTCAGGAAAAGCCAAAAGGGAAGCTACATGCCATAGGGGGGGAGCTACAAGGCAGTCAGGCCCACAGGGAAAAGTCACAGGACAAGTACTGGAAGATACTTCTGGGAAGGAAGAGGGGTGGACTGGGAGCAGCCAGCACAGAGTTTGAATATCATGATCAGTGTGACTGGATTTGGGGATGAAAGGAGAGCAGTAAGCATCATTTATCTCCACTTTAGTTTAGATGGTTTCAAGACCATCTCCAACAATATATGTGCCTCCAAGTGAGGACACTATGTTGTGGCTAGGTAGACAGGTAAATGAGTTTAAGAACTGGCTAGAAGATTGGTCTCAGAGGATGGCTGTTAACAGGCAGCACTCTTGTGGCAGAAGCCTGTCCTAGGACCCATACTGTTTAACAAACTGTACCAATGACCTTGAGAAGGTGATAGTGCACCCTCATCACATGTGCAGATGACACCAAAGTGGAGGGGGCAGCTAATATGCTCAAGGTTAAAGTCTAGAGTGTTCAGAGTGGCCTAGATAAGAATGGGCCACAAGTACTCAATGAAGTTTGACAAAGCAAAGCACAAAGCCCTTCACCTGGCAAGGAACAGCCCCAGCAGTGGGACAGGCTGGGCACTGTGGGGCCAGGGAGCAGCTCTGCTGGAAAAGGCCTGGTATGCTAGCAGGCAGTGAGCAGAGCACATACAGGCCTGCAGGGTACCTGGTGGCACACTTCTTTGTGGCAGTTGTCTAGTTTTTTGAAAAAGACTGTCACCATTGACTCACCGCTTATATATATAGGTAGAGAACAAAGACAGTAGGCAGCACTATTGGGCAATAATGGATTTTAATTAAATAAATACTACAATTCAGCTCGAATGTCAAAGTATGCTGTGGCTACCAGGCCATCTCAAGGAGACAGAGGAAGGAAAATGGATTGTGAATTTGATAAGCATTATGTAGCTGCATTCATATAAACTGGGTTGCTCAAATTCACTGAAACCAACTTTTCAGCATTGACAGTCTGTCTTCATGCTGCTGCTTAGTCAAAACATTCAGATCTCCTATGTTTTATAAACCTAATACGACATCTGAAGGGGAGCATTTCACACATTTAGAGAGAAAGCCATATACTGGATTTACTAGATTCATTCTCCATTTCATCTGAACCGTTCAACTGGAACAGCAGCACCACTCCTTTCTGAAAGGTTATTTTTGCATCTGGTTGCATTTAAGCACTCGTGGTGGAAGGAGGCAGGGGGTGGAAGAAGGATGGGAAGCAAGAAATGGACTTTTAGCGAGGTTCGTCTCCTCAGAAAGCCCTCTTCAGCTCCTCGCATAACCTGAACACCACCCACCTCACTAACCAGGCTGCAGCCACCGGCACATACAGCAAGACCATGGCACCACCTATTGCAGGAAGGCAGCAGTGCATGCCTGTGTCTGCATATTACTTTTCCATACACAAAAAAAAACCACAAAAAACAAACACCACCAGAATGGAAACTAGGTTGCCTCAGACTGTGCTATAAGCTATCAATTATATCTATTAATAAGTTGGCAACAATAGAGTGCTTTTGTTCTATTTATTTATTTTTTTAATGGGGATACTCTCTCTATTTATTATTTTTTTTTAATGGGGATATCTTTGGGGCAGGAGGTTCCTTCTGTTTTTCAGATGAAGAACCCTGCATATTCTTTCCCAGTCCCCATGCTTTGGTTTGGGGTTTAGTTGCTCTCATCAAGGTTACAGAGTAACCTTGAGCTGTATTCAGCATTTCTACTGCTCTTTTGAGACAGAAATTGAATCCCTTCTGTGTTTGAGAAGTCTGGCTTTCAGTTTAAATAGGATTTTTCAATTATTAGCATATCAAATAGTGTAATTGTCAGAACACAACATAAGATTAGTGCCTTTTTTTTTTTTTCTCCCTTAGATCTCAGCTTCCTTCTGTCCTACTATTTTGCATTTTCTGTGAGAACAAGCCAAAGGCAACCATGCTAGCCATCTGCAGGAGCAAGACAGTGGGTATGTCGATGCAACAGTTCAATTTTCTTCCAGAAACCAAAGAATTGGAGCCTCTATGAGCAATGCTGGCCTTCCTAAAGTCTACAAGGCAACACCTCACCGTGGTGAACATCACAAATATTTACCAGTACTGAAAGGCAAGATCCTGGCACACAGGGTGGCAGAGATGTCAAGGCAGCCACAATCCTCTCCTGCTCATAAATTTCTTACAAGACAGGCTTGGAAATAGCAGCTCTGCCCAATCTCTGGGACATGAGTGGCAGCGAACAAATGGTTGCAGATGGTACAAGTTTTAGAATCTAAATTCTGCAACAATATGTTGGACTTCTAAGGTTAATTTTAATATTTCTTTGCATATTTGATGAAAAATTCACAAGTTCAGTGTCAGCGTGGGAATAGTTTTTATCTTTTAACAACTCTTATTGTGTCAACTTGTTTAAACACACTATAAGTATCATTTGGCCACAAGCTGAGTGAGTAAATTCAACCACGTAAAGGGATCGCCATATAGCAGACACTAATCTTCATAAAACCAGAAGTATTTATTAAGACAGATTTAACATTTAAGAAATAATACATATCCCAGTAGAATGTAAGCCTCCATAAACTATGAGAAACATTCAGTAGGTTTTTAACCTATTGTTTTACTAGATGTTACCAACTACCAGTATCAAAACAACCGTATTGTCGCATGAGGGTCAGAGGAAGAGTGTGATAAAGGCAAATACGTTTATTTCTCCACCTCAGCTATGTGGCTTAGGCTACTAAAAACATTACTTCTTCCTGAAAACCTCTTGAGAATGATATCCGTCATTCAGATATCTGTAACAGTAGGCAGTGAAATGCTACATTTTGGTGATGCTGAGGCTCCTTAATCAAGTTCTAGTTTTGCTGTATTAAGTAATTCACTGCCTCATGAAAAAGTAGCTCCATTATGGAGCAGCATCAGCTCCACAGTGCCCATGACAGCTCATTAAACTGTGTGGCACCTGATACCCATAACACAGGAAACATGAGTGAGACATCCCAGCTCTCAGGCTTAAAAGGCAGGGATTCCTGGAGAAAGAAAAAAAAAAAAAAAAAAAAAAAAAAAGAAAAAAGAGAAAATACAACCAAACAAAGATGTAGAGGGATCTTTACCTCATCTGACATCAAGAGACTTCCAGCAAAATTAAACATGTGGCCTGACATTCTTTAAGTTGCCAGATATACATCATTTTCACACTCTAAGGCAATTAGTGTCATTCATTGCTAGTGTACCCAAGGCTCTCTCAGGTGAGCATATTAGCACAGTAACATATCCCAGGCATGGGATCAATTACACCGTCATATAGAAAGACATACAAAATTCTGAGAAATAAAAGGGAAGCATCTACAGCCAGCCAGGTAAACCTACAAAATAATTCAGAGATTTCTGTCACTGTCAAACTAGGTTATTTTAAGATGCCAGATCTTTCAGTAGTTATGTCCCCCAAAATCTACATTGTGTGTTCTAAACTAGCAATGTGGGGTCTTTACACTTGTCCTGATTCATATTTGCTTACCTATTCCCATTTTTTGGTATATTCTTCACACTCTTCAGAGGTGTTTGAAGTTTACATGGTAAGAACTCACCTTTGTACTCTCCTAACTGCTCTGGCTGGAAAAAAACAGGAGAGGAATCCAAATCATGCAGTCCAAAGTATTTGGACCGAATAAAACTTTTCACTGAAACAAACAAACAAACAGAAACACTTTTGCCTACTTGTCCCCAGACAGGTAGCACAGACAGAAGCAGCTCTTCACAGATCTTCAGCCTCTTATTTATAGGTAGTAAAATACTGATTGAAGTTTGTTCCCTAATTTATAGCATGCAGAGGCCTTGCCCAAACAGGAAACTTTGGACAACTTTGGGAAGGAAAAATACTATAGGAAATAGTAAACAGCAAGCATGACTGTTATCCTTTCCCATTCTACCTTAGTTTTAAAAAACCTTTAAAAAAATATAAAATACACAAACTGAAGCAAAACAGCTCCCAAATCCCACAGCCTAAGACCCCACTAGTTAGCTATTAGAAGTCAAAGCAGATCACCAATGTGATCTGAATTCATAAATGTACAATAAATAAGCTTCTTGAGGAGCAAATTTAAAATCAAAAACCACTGAAGAATTCCAAAGTATCTGTAACAGAGTACCTGTAACATTAGAACATGCGATAAACACTTCAAATACAGACACGTTCTTTGTTGCCAGCTGTTAAAGGTTAAAGCTTTTAGGCAATGGTGGTTCTTAAAATAACATTGTAAATAGGTATACTGAGTCTGGCTAGGATGGAGTTAATTCTCTTCCTAGCACCATAAGGGCTGTTATGTTTTGGGTTTGTGGCTAAGAATGCTAGTAACACTGGTATGTTATCAACACAAAAGTCTTGGCTAATGCTTACACAGCACTGAGGTTTCCTTTTTCATCGCACCACCTTCTTTTCCCTCTCCATCCCCTGCAGCAAGTAGATTGGGACGGGGAAGAAGCTGAGAGAGAGCAAAGCCAGGAGAGCTGACCCCCACTGACCAAAGGGATATTCCATACTTTACAAAGTCCTGCTCAGCAATAAAAGCTCAGGAAAAGGGGAAAGAAGGGGGACAACTGAGGTTATGGTGCATGTCTTCCCTATGATAACATCTGCCTACTGACAGGAAATAAATTCCTTACCTTGGTTTGCTTCCACACACAGATTTGCATCACCTATTAAACTGTCTTTATCTCATCCCATGAGCTTGGTTTTGCCTTTCTGATTCTCTCCTTCACCTCTGTGCAGTGCAGTGGAAGTCAACAAGCAACCGGGCTGAAGGGCTTATCTGCCTGCTGGAGTCAACCAGCACCACAGCACCCTAGCGTTTTGAGCCAGATGCTTTAGTAGCCCAAAGTCAGACAACAGTAATTCATTCATATTAATGGTGATTTGCTTTAAGATACTCCAGTTTATTACAGACTTAACACAATAAAACATAATATCAAAAAAGGTAGATTGCAGAGTTCTTACACCACAGAATGCCAATAGTTATAAAAATTCAAATGATACCATTGAAAGTTCATGAACACTTGTGGGAAAAGTTATAGGGAGACGTAGAAGTAAAAGAGAAAAATATTATCAAGTGAGTTTAAGAAAAGATATGTGACCCAAGTTTTTTTTTTAATAGAAAATTTAATAGCATTCTTCAACTCAAACAATCCCATCTAGAATATCCAAATATCCATAATGCAGTTAAATCCAGATTTTGAACCTCTAGAGAACATATCCATTGTTCCAGTTAACTTGCATTAAGATAGCTTGTGTCCAAGTCACTTAGTGTTTATTTATCATGCTGAAGTTGATAGATCATTTGCTACACAGTTACAAGAACAACAGTTTACAATTCTTAAGTTACAAAAATAGTTATCACTCATTAGTATTTCTATACATATCTCAAGCTATTATATGCATACTCTGTACAGTGGATGTTAACAGTGGTTATGTTTGCTTCCTTAAAACAAAAAAGGACTAAATCACTCATGGTCAGACCCAAAATATTTAGGCACCCTAATCTGCTTGCATGTCTGGCATTAAACATCCCTACTGACACAAAGGAAAAGCAGTTTCAGTATCCAAACACAACACTCACCCATGTTGCAAGACCCTTATGACAGTCTCACGCTATGCTGCAGGACTTTAACTTGACAAATTCCTTCTGGAGAACAGTCCCTGCCCAAAAGGTCAACCCACAGGCAGAAAATCAGGTATCCATGCCAAAAGCTATAGGGGCAGCACTGCAATCTACCCTTTCATTACCAAAAACTCCACCTAAAGGTCAAAAAGGAAGGTGGCTTCTCAAGTAGACAAAACATGTTTTTGACATATCCAAGTGATTGTTTCCAACATGGTTTTAGTTCGGTTTTGGCTTGGGTTTTTATTTCCTTTTTTTTTTTTTCCCCCTCCTCCTATACAAAGTCACCAAAATAACAGATCTTTGGCATAATCAGGGCTAACACTAGCAAACATTCTGCTGGTGGCAGTAGTCCATTATTGAAGTGCATTGGCAGCACTCATATTTATTCTTCGCTTTCAGATGTAATAAGCCTGGAAGCACTGCTTGTTTTTGGCATTTTATTAGAGGAGATGGAAAAATTGAATTCTCAGAGGTATTACTGCTAGGTTTGGTCATCTCTTAAGTAGATGTCCAGTCCCACTGACATTCAGATTCACATAGGTGCCTGACTCCAAAACAACTCACCCATTTTATAAGATACTGCCTGGTAACAGATAGATATCCCACTACATACTGGGGAGAAAGAGGAGGGGAAAAAAGCAAAACCACAACTAAGCCCCATGTTCCACCCCCCCCCCCAAAAAAAAAAAAAAAAAAAAGAAACCTTAAATGGTGAATAAGAAATAACACTAATATTTTCTGAATTTGGAAATCCTTCTCATAATGCTTCAAGCACCATCCTTCCCATTACGAGGGTACAACGTTTCAGTCAGATGGCTAAAGACCCTAAAAGTTCAACCCAAGCACACCAATTGCTTACATGGTTAGCTTTACACACCACACACTAAAAAGCCCATAGTATTGTTTGCAATGTACTACTATGAAGAAATCAACTCATTTGCAGAACTTCAGGGATGATTTGAAATAAAGTCAAATAAAGTATGTACTTAAGTCTGTCAGCATAAGGCTGCAAAATATACCACAATGTTAATATCAAGGTCATGCAAGAACCAAAAGTGCATTAAGAACTTCAAAGCCATACCACACAGGAAAACATTCTTATGCTTGCCTTCACAGAAGATTAAGAAACAAACAATTGGCCCCTAAATACCAAGATAAGTAAACAAATTATAAATGAGCTTCTACAGGCTCTTTCCTACATCAGGAGTTCAAGAATAAGCACAAGGTATTATGCCTCTTAGGAGGAAGGTTTCCCTTCTAATCTCTCCAAATGGTATTCGATGGTTGGATCTTTGAGTTCATTTGGTGGCTTCATACATACATTTTTAAAGCGTCATATTTAAAATGTTAAATAACTTCGTTCTCCAGGGCAGAGTGGCCAAATAGCTAACATTTTTTACTCATTTGTTTCATATTAATTTACCTTGTTACAACTTTGACATTTTACAGTTAGTGTATACAGAATACATTTTGTTTTTTGATTGTGCCATGGCAGTACAATACCTGTACCACTGTTTCAACAGATAACTAAGAGCTCCCGTTTTGAAGTGCAACAGCATTTGCTACAGGAATTGCTATGAAGAGTTCAAGTGAAAGGAATTATACTGGAAATAAATTCCTTGAAATATAATAATGCAATGCTACTATGTATGTATTTGATAGTATTTTAAGATTAAGAGGAATTTACAAATGAAATATTCATCACTTCAGGGAAAAAAAAAATCCATCAGAAAACATCTTACACACAGGGAAAACAAACCAGAAAAGACAATGGCTCTTCAAGCTGACCTTCTTGAAAGAATTTATACTTTGTACTCATTGGTCTACAGTGAACCAAAAGGCTTGCCTTTGTTTAATAAAACAAGCAAACAAAACACAATTGAGATAAATAAATACAAAATTATTATAGGTCTCTCATTTGCATGTACTCTTCTTATTGTTTGTTTACAAAGTTATGCAATTTCAAATTGCCTTCCCTTGCTCTCTTTGCATAGTATTTCCAAGCTTAGCCACAGAAATCAAGTCTAATTTGAATACTCAGATGCCACATCAGCTTATCTGAAGAGATGTTATATTAAAATTAGTAGTCAAGTTCAAACTGTTGTTCTGTTTGGTTAATAACATGTTGACATGTTTTGCAAGCACAAACTAACACACACAGAACTGTAAGCTTTTGATTCTCCTGTAACTAACTTAATTTGAGGATTCATCAGTAGGATTTTTACTACATTGCCTCTGTTTTTAGGTAAGAACTGTTAGTTATTCAGTAAGCCCACCACAAATTAATGGTGTTAAAGTTTACATCCATTAGGTAACCCAGGTGATTAAGAGATGTAAGAAAAAACAAGAGCTTTATTTTTCCTCCACATACACAGAAAGAATAATTCCACTGATCATTCTTTATTTTAAAGTAGCCCACACCAAGCATGTTATGCAATGGAAGATCCACAGACTTAAGTATGCATTTTGCTCGGTATGTCTGCCAGTCTTTCAAATGTCAGTTGGAGTCTCACAACACCACATACAAGTGTAAAATCCCTAAGCACGCGCTTGTTCAAGCAGCGTTCACTGGTGTGACCAAATAACTATACCACTGTGCCATTCCAGTTATTTTAGATTATCTATTATCCTTTGAACTGGTTTAAACTAGTACAAAAAAATATCTGCCTAGAGCTCTTCTCTCGTTCTTTCTACTTAAAAATGAAAACAAAACAAACAACAAACAACAATCTTGAGGCTTAAGTACTTGGGAATAGAGGAAAAAAAAACGTATCACTTACTGGTTGACTTCAGATCTCACATGGTTTAAAACAGAATTTTCCCTGTGTTCCAAAAAAAAAATAAATGAACCTTTCTATGACAGACAACATAGTAGATGTTACTTCCCTGCTTCTAGCCAGCTCCCCACTATTCTGGTCTTGAGTTATCAGCTCTATCTTTTCAGACTACCAGACCAGCTTCTGCATGTTTTATCAGACACAAGACAGAACCTCATCTATGCTCTAGGAAGATTAGGAGAGCCAGTTGTGAATTAGTTTGCCTTATGATCATAAGCTGTAATAAAGAATGTTTAAAAGTGCCCAGATACAAGAAAAAAATCAGAACATAACTAAGTCATCAATTATTTCAGTATCAAAGTTCTTGTAAGCCAACATCTTCATCAATCAAAAGTTACAAGAAACTGACAGCGTAGGTTCCAATACAGACACACTTTTAAAAGACATTGTGGATGAGTGCTCAAAGCATTCAGAGGATTTTTATTTTCTGTACCGTTGCTAATTTTCTTTTAAACCAGTCTTAATTGATATGTTTCCCAGCACCTCTACCCCTAATTAAGTCCACCTGAAGAATGCCAATGAAAGACAATAGACACATAACTTTACTGAATTACTGAAGCATAAAACATCATTAGTTACAAGAAGTTACTCAGCAGCCTTTTTCCATAGTGTTTATTACTAGTTCATTTTAATTAGCTTATTTCCAGGAGATAGGCAGCATAAAAACCGCAACACCTATTTAAAAAAATTAGAATTTATTACAATGCAATGGTCTCAATAGTACTTCCTTACAGCTGCATCTTATTTAATACTGAAATAAAACAATCCTGATCTAGTTAGTTTTAAAAATTTTGCCCCTAACCATTCAAATAGTCAGCCTTCAAAAGTCAAGCAACTTTGGACCTCAAATTTAGAATCACTGTGTTTGGTAAAAGCCCTGGAAATTCTCATTGTGCGAACTAACTCAGTGAAACTATTTTTTAACAGTTTTGTTATAGGTCAGTCTCATGATTACATCATAATTTATTCTTACAGAAAGAGTTGCTTTATCCTCACTTATATAACCAATGTGAACTGTGAGCACTCAGGAGATTCAGGTAACTACTGCATTGCTTACTGAGTCTGTGCACAAAATACACATACCCCAACGTATGAACACTGACAAGTAGCTTAGTACATGGTATATTAAAACAATAAAAATGTTGTAAATTTACATCAACCTGCCCAAACCCATATTCAAACAGCTTCTCACTTAGATCCTGACTACACAATTTTAATTTGTATAGCTGTACTCAAAATTTAATCAAAAGAACAAATCGGAATGACACTGTCAAAGTCTTACCCCTTCATTTTCCACAGTTTTGAATTTTTCCTTTGTCAGTAGTGATTCTGGGGGACTTTTTTTTTAACCTTACTTTAAACCTAACAACATACATTCTCCTTATAACATTGCAGAGGTAGCAGAGGGAAATATGAAAGAAAAGATGCCAGATTCTAGAAGTTGCACATTCAAGTATAGCGTCATCCATGAGTGCTTTCCTGGCTTTCACAGACTGCATGTCACCTCTAATCAAGTATAGCAAATGAAAAGTAGAATCCCAAAACAAAGAACTACTGCCACTAATACTAGTTTCACACCCAGATACCTCAAAGCAATCTTGTTACTTAAGTAGTTATACTGTAAATTTCAAGAGTCAAATATCAAGAACTAAAGTATAAACTTAAAATTTATGAGTACCAATTTTTCTAAAATGCTCATTAGTGACACATTTCACCTAAACAGACAGAAATACACACAATTACTCCAAGTTGATGTACCACACTGTAAGGAAAGGTCCCAACTCAGTTCAAGAATCTGTAATTTCCCCTCCCTCTCCAACCACACAACTTGACAGAAGTGTTTACAGTAACAGAAAGCAAACAGAAGGGGAAAACACAACATTTAACAAGTGCATCTATATACATTTTGCACCTTTTTCCTCCTTGCATTTCAAGTGAACAGGCCACCAGGTTTGCTATGCGTTACATGCACATACTCTCACCCTTACTTAGAACCAGTCCTATTTAAAGGAATCTCTGCAAGCTTCAAGAGCAGTCATTCCACACTAACTAACAGGTGCTTTTACTGCGGAGGCTGAAGTACATTTAAATATTCTGACTGGCCCAGCTGGTAGGTTGTGTTTCCTCCACAGTCCACATACTGGTATCTCTCTTGGGATATTTGCTCAGAGTGGCCGAAGTAAGAGGTTGTCACTGTCACTCTTGAAAACAAAAAACAGAAGAGACATTTGTTTTGTAAGGGGTTTTAACGCTCCCTCTTCTAAAAACCCGTGTTTTTAAGTTACTAGGGTTTTTAAGGAGCTAGTTTTAGGACAAAATACATAACAATAAGAACAAAGTTTTAAAAAAAATAATAATAAAAAAATACCAGTTTATACTACCTACAGATTATTCATTCCCATGGCAAAAATTTAGTCTCCTGAGCAAATACTTTTTTTTTTTTTTTTTTCTAAAGATGATAAAGCCAAGGTTTACTCATTAATACTTTGTTTTGGAAGGGGAACAGAAATGATTACAGAAGCTACACAATGGTTGGTTTACATACCATCTCTCCACCCCCAACCAAAAAGCCAGGCTGCTACTTATGCAATCTGACACAAAAAGTGGACTCTGGCAGAGTCACACAAAAGTCACACAAAAGCGTGTGACTGCCTCAAGGTCATAAGGTTCTCAGCAATTTTTGAATAGCAGCTGATACACATAAGTTCATTTTAAAATATTTGATATCTTAGTAGCTCCATGGACACAGCCCAACTACAGAGCAGATACAGTAATAGTGGTTGGAACTATTAAGTATCATTACCAGAATTTGTCAAAATTTCAAATGTTCAGTTTCAAGAACTATGAGGCTACTACACTAAAAAGTTAGTTGATTTCATTTTATCTAAGATACACAAACACCACAATTAAATACATCTAAGTAATATTTCAATGAGAACTACATGGCTTCTAAGGTTGTTTCCAACAAAAAGGAAGTTTCCATACTTACTGCATCATCACTACTATGTTATGAACTTTGATAGATGCTAAAGTACAGAAGTCACTGCAAAAGAAAGATAGAGAGCTATTAGATTTGCATCAGCTTTTGTAGACAGTTATCTAAAAAGCAAGAATTGTTGCTTCATCCAGAAATTCTGCTACCTGTATATTTACAGCCTGCAGAGTTGCTAATAATGGCAACCAAAACACTTGTTGAAAAACAACTGCCTATGAGTGAATACTCAATCCAAGTCTATTTATATACAGACTTGCTTTCACATAAAGCATATTCACACGTGCTTACTTACATGTAACAATTCCCTAAAAAAACCTTCTGTGAAACACCACTTGTTCCATCTTTCAGAAGTTAATCTCAAGAAATACATCGCAACATGCCTTCACTGGTGAGGAATTCAACTATAAGGGCATATAGGCGTAATTTGCTGTGATTTCACTTAGAGATGTCAAATTTAACTATAGGAAGGAAAATTCACCACAAAAGATCAAAGTTATGCTAGCTTCAGCATCTTGTTGTGTAAGATCAGCAATTACTATCAAGAAGTCTTAGTATGCTTGCTCCAGAAATAAAGAACTTAGGAAAGCCCTGGTATTTTTGCACCGATTCACTTCTCTATTATGCAAAGTGACCTTTAACCAGTCTGCAGAGACTGCAAAATCAATGACTGTTTTCTTGCGAGACAAACTTACAGACTTATGTTTTCTGAGAGACACCTACATACCTGTTACACAGTGCACTACATATGTGTATACTTCCCCTCCCTCCCCTCAACCACAGATCAATGAGTTGCTCTTGATCACAGATTTATCAGCTCAGGAATGAAAGGCATGCAATCAATGCAACAAGACTGTATGACAGCCACTCACAGTATTTACTTGTGATTGTCATTCTTTTCCTCAGCTCAAATAAATATAGAATGAAATATGAAACAATGAACAAACACAGGTGATACAGATTATATGAAAATACAAACTGAACAGTTTTTATCAGAAGTTGTTTTACATTGGTATCTCTAGTAATGACAAATATTTTGACTTTTTTTTTTATTGCTAGGCTTGAAACAGGATTTAGCTGGACCATACTGCCAGATGTTCTCAGTTATTGTAGTTTTCCAATCCAAAATACAGACAACCTGTAACATAATGGTTATCGCGTTTGCCTCACACAAAAGGTCGCTGGAAATTTTCAGGCTGGAAACTGATAGACATTTCTTCTCAGAAAGAGTAGTCAGGCATTGGAACGGGTTGCTCAGGTTGGTGGTCACTGTGCCTGGGGGTGTTTAAGGAAAGGTTGGACCTAGCGCTTAGGGACATGGTTTAGTGGGTGACACTGGTGGTAGGGGATGGTTGGACTGGATGATCTTGGAGGTCTTTTCCAACCTTAATGATTCTGTGATTCTATGATTCTGTAATATAAAGTCATCTTGTATCCAAGCACTATGTTATTGACAGGCAAGCAGAGAGATATAATACCAACCTACTGCTTTTTAAGTTCCGATTATCTAGAAAAAAAGTCTTTTTTAAAAAAATACAACAAAAAACAAAACACACACACCATTACCACAAAACTACACAGCACAAAATGGTAGATAGGAAGTACATTGAAGGTAAGCTGCAAAAATCCAACTCTCTAAAAATAAATGGGTGGAAATACCCTGTAGGATGACGATTTCATCACACAGGTCTGCTGAATCCAGATAACACTTCAGTATCTCAAAGGTTACTTGACCTAAGCTGATTTTACAGGAAACCCACTCTCTAGAATCAAAGTAACTCTTTAGTTATTCCTAACCCAAGACCTAAACCGACTAGATGGGGAAACATCAAAATGCCTACAATATTGTAATTCACTGTAATAAAGAGAGTATTGCAGGTTGTACAAAGATTATCCAAGGACTTTCCCAGATAGTTTAGTATTAGAATCAGGGGTAAAAAAAGCAAACACAATAACAAATACAAAACCCTGCTATGATCAGCTAAAACTACATTGGCTTGGTGCTTAAAGTAAGGTGGCTCACTGGCTGTGCCCTGGGTTTTTCTGAACAGGGAATCCAGGCTTTTGAGACTTGCAGTACACAGAAAGAACTGAAGCCCATTCACAATAACCTCCCAGACCTGGACTAAAACCACTGCGTGTGTGGCTCTTAATGCATTGTAAACACATCACAACTTAGCTAATGACTGCTACTGACAAGTACTAGGACCTTACTGTATCAGCCTGTACGAGTACCTAGATCCTTAGCTAACTCAAACTTCCCTACTTTTACAGGTCTTTATTACCAGTTACAGTATGTTTAGCACCACTTCACTGAAGCAAGCAGCATTTTCTTATGTGTGCAGGTTATGTATTAGTCTGCTTTTCCAGCAACATTCACAGACACCTGCTGTCCTGAAGGAGGCAAAGTCCACATTACGGATTACAGGCACAAACACACAGTAGCTTCTCTGCTTCCACTCCAAGACAGCCTGATTCACCCCTATGCTGAAGCGGCAAGCATAGCATTGTTCCATGCTATTGCTGAGATTGCAGCTGTCAAGCTGCAGAATGGCCTGAAATCCATTTAGTTCAGATCACACACAGAACAGTTGTTGCCTATCCACATCTCTTCACGCATCTGAAGTCACCCAGGTTTATCTAAGGGCTAGCTTGAAATTAAGTTTCAACAATTGCTGGCAACAGACTCTCACAGCATTACTGAAGACAACAATACAGACCATGGAGTAAGTTTCAATGCATTATTGTACCAGGAGTCAAAAACCACAAGCTACATAAGTATCAGCGCAAGTTCTATGAAAGCCACATTTAATCTTCAGGTATCCAGAGGGTGAGTAGATTCATGGGATTCATTGTTTATGCAAACCTAACTTATATGCCTTTAAGTGGTGACAAAAGTACGACACTACTTATTTAAAGTTAAGTGGCCAATTTGCTATTTCACACCTGTCTCAATTTTTTTCAAACTATTTGAAGCTGTAATGCTCTCTCTTGCACCAAAGGGGCTGTTCAAGGCATCCACTTGAACTGCACACAGACCTGAAGTCTCAAAAGTTCAGAGTGAACAGAAAGAGTTAATTTCAGCATAAAAGAATTAATGCTTGGTTTTGTTACCAAAATATACTGAGCCCTTGGTCAAATAAACTTTCTGAAGCTATGAACAAAACAGCTTACACTTTAAGTATACGCTGTAAACACTGGTTATGACTGTATACATGTGTTCTGAAGAGTAGAATTATAAGCTAGCATTTAATTCTACACAAATTAGAGGCTAACTTCCTCTATCTCCACAGAAATTTACTGGAAACTTATTAAGGAATGTATCAAATAAACACCGTATGCACTTCTACACCCTAAAGTAGCTGGTCCTAGCTATTACCAAAGCCTGAACTGTTGGGAATACAGACACCACGCAAAGTGCTGAGAGCCAGGTACAGCAAGCCACTGTATGAAACCACTGAAAAGAATATGGTTTAAGTTATTTTGCAGTACTGTTAAACTCATACAAAGAATGCCACTCTATCTCTGTAAATATATTTCAGCTGTTTTTTTTCAAAAGCTCCATGATAATTTTTACCAAGACGCAGGCAAATACTTATAGGCTGGTACACTTACAACATGTAGCTCATTTCATCCTGTATGACTGTGGGCACCATATAGTCAATCTAAAAAAAAAAAAAGGCAACAAAAAACAACTGAGCAGATTTAAATATAAAGATTAACATACATTCAACTTCAAAAGCCTGTCCCATTTACCTGCTTCATATCCAGAGGACCAATGTTGGTGATGTTGTTTAGCCGTGCTTTGCCAATAACTGTTTTTGAAAACTGAACTTGGGCTGTAATGTTTGCTACTTCAACAGAGTAATAGTTGTTGTTTGTTATATTTAGTGTGTTCTAGAGGAAAGAAAAAAAAAAAAAGAAGCCTTTAAGAATTAACCATTCTGTGTATCTAAATGAACATACATTTTTTAATTTGTGTATGAGTCAAAAATACCTGAAATTACGCAAGTATACTTTCCCACCTTTGGGGATTTTCTTGGGGTGAGATGGAGGGGAACCACCACTCAACCCCTTTTTCAGAGGCGTTTGAATATACTGAGCAGCACCAAATTCTGCACAACTCCACTTGTGACCACTCTCCACTAGAAATACTGACCATTTCTTCCTATCCTCAGTTATTTGTTCCATGAAATTTAACTATTCCAGGACTCTTTCCTCTCATGGCTACTTTATTTAATTTAAAGACACTCATGAGGAATTCCACAAGTCTTTTGGCAATCCTGTATTCAATGCATTACCAAAAAATAATCAAGAGGCATGTAGGAAAGAACTCCTTGAAGTTTTATGCTAAGTAGGAAATAATTTTTCTTCAAAATCAGTTTTGAGAGATGCAAAATCCAGGTATTCAATAACATTTCTGCAAACACAACATGCTCTATTTTTCACTCATATTCCCCAAACAATGCAAAGAATTCCAAAGTCACCTTTTCCATTAAAATAGAAGATCCAACGGTAGCCTACAACTGTAGCTACAGGAACCAGCCACAGCAAGTCCAGCTACATTTTTTGAATGGTAAGCTGGTAGTTCTTAGGACACTAAGCTTTCCAGTTAGCCTACATATAATAAATCACTGCAGTAGCATCTCCTGTTGCATATATTACAAACACCCAAAGAGACAGACAGTCTTACCGTAATATTTAAATATATTATGCGTCTACCCTCTTCATAAGTGACGTACACTGACTTCACACCAATGTATTCAACATCAATTGAGCGAGGAAACAAGAAGAACACAGCCAGCCCAGAAAGAAGTAGACATACAATAACAGAAGCAGTCACATAAAGTTTTCTAGAGATAAAAAAAAAAGACATTTTATAGTTGAAGCATATTAAAATAAAATAATGCACCACTCTTCTCGCTTAAGTGATAAGAAGAATGACTGCTTAATATAACCATCTCAGCCTATTTCCAGCTTCCATTAGTTTCAGGGGGAAGAAGGACTGTGCTGCACTTCATGTCTATGTCACAAATAGAGATGACACTCTTGTATACATATATGTGTGTGTGTGTATCAGAAAACAAGTTCCAAAACACACAGTTACCCCAACATTCACAATTTAAAGAAGTAAATGAAAGAGGAAAATATTCATGTGCTTTAAGACATAAGCACTTTATGTCTTTAAAATTAACTTATAGCAGAACTTTTGACACTGTGCAGGATTCTTCAATATATTGTGCTTGTACAACATACCCAGAAAGAAGAATAAAGCCTTACATTCTTTGTCATAAAAGACTTTCTGGAAAAGTGTTAAGAATTTGTTTAGATCCCTGCTAAGGAACTGCAAACATGCAATTAACCTAACGTAAAACAAGAAAGGGAGTTTAAATAACAAAAGTATACAAATAAAAGGTTCTACGGCAGTTGCGGTTTTCTCAAAATCAGAATGTTAGGGGAGTATTTCTCAAATCTGGACTACTATTACATCAATTTTATGATCCAAGATATCTGAGATAGCACTATGTGAAGTTGTATTTTTTCCTGTCACTCATTTCTGTTTATCACAGAAACATCAAAACATTTAGAAAATGTAAGAACAATTACATAACACTAATTAAACCTTTAAGTAGATCCTAGAAATATATACATATTTTAAAAATATGCTATATCACAGTGATAAGTTTATTCATTCTGCTAGAAGCTCAGAGCTTTTCAAATGAATTTCTAGGTGACTTATTTTGTAGCAGTAGCCCAAAGAAATTAATCCCTTTACTCTAATTTAAATTTTAATAGTGAAGGTGTATCTTCTTAGATCAATTAAGATGCTATAAAGCTTGATAAGTGGTTGCATAATTACTGTAGATATTCAGATAATTACCTGCACAAAGTGACCATGCAGTATTACTAACTTTATAAGACACAGCATGATGGGAGCGGGCACACCTTAATAAACAACTCTCCAAGAGTTAGAGGTAAAGGTTCATATTACTCATAAGCAGGGTTCCTTTAATACTGAATGCAAGAAAACATTCCAGTGATTTTGCTTGAATCCCCTTAACGCTATCTCATTTAAATTGAGCAATTTTAACTACAAGAGAAGAAATAACTGTGGATTCGCATATCACAACTATCAACTTACGTTCTTCTTGGCCTCAGTCTCTGATCACTGTATGGAATTAATGCTACCAGCTGGTTTTCCTGCCCTAGAAATAAAAACAACCTTTCAGAACTTAAACACAAATAATAATTACTTTTGAAGTTACTTCAAATAAAGAGCGACCTTCAGAACTTTACAGCATCAAATAATATAGATGAACATTTAAAATCCAGTAATATTCTACATTCAGAAAGAAGCTCAGGCAGTCAGAACTGATCCAGAAGGCATTGTGTATCTCCTCATCAGGAAGTCAGGTTTGTTTAAAAACACATGCACATATGGATTTGGGTGGCTTTTGCAACACAAGTTGTGCCCAGGCTGCATTCTGGAAATCACTGGTACATACAACCGTTTCTCACGGGACTGAATTGCAGCCATCTGGAAGCCAAAGAAATGCCCACTGGAACTTCTCCAAGCAACTAGACACCCCACCAGCCAGTGTTTTTAGGAGGTGGATATCTTAACAGCAGAAACAAGGAGTGTAAATACTGAGAAGCTACTGAAAATACATGGACTACGCCTGTCTTTGTATCTTTTTCGATTTGCTATACAAGCAGGTGGAATTGAGATTGACCCGCACGACAACAGAGAAGCCTCAAGAGCAAGTCTGGTTTCCATTTTAAGTCAAATGCCAAATTTGGTCAGCGCTATCGCTTAGCTAATCGATCATGCTGAAGCAGATCTGAGCTGAATTGTTAAGATGGGCAAAGCATGCTGAGCACATACTAGTATGTAACATCAACCTCAGAAAAAGCCGTACCAATTTAAAACAGATTTTCATCTCAACTTCATTATACTGAAAACCTAAAGTGGTCCAAGTACCAAAATGCAATTCCCTATGATTATTATACAGTTTAAACATCATAGCACATGTTGTGGTCTTCCCTACTATTCATGCAGCCACCCAGTCAACCCTTAATTTCCCCCTCTCCCCTCTAAAACCCCAAACATTGTTTTTATTATTTTTTATGTACGGAGGAATAATTAAAAAATGGTACACACACTTTCTCACTGGTACACACCAAGTTTTCAATTTTCCCCATACCCTCAGAAAAAAAATCAGTACCTTGCATACCACCCCCCTACTGATACTGCTTTTCCAAGTAACCTGAAAAAGTGGCTTAATGTAAGTTACAGCTCTGGATGACATTTGGCATGTACAGGGTTTATCTGTCAAACCATTTGCTCAAGTGCTGAAAACCCTGACATCTCAGCAATTTGTTTAAAATCCATTTGTATACTTTAATATATGTGTAATACTTCCCAAGTATTCTTTTTTAGCAACAGGAAGACAAAGGACATCCCAAACATACTGTTATTCTGCAGAAGCATGTGATGTTTCAGAATTGTATTTTTCAAACAAACAAATATACATTTCTGGAATTTGGTATTCAGTATATAGCTTTACAGTAAACAAGTGATTCTCGTCCATCCACAATCGATGTCCAGAGCGTGATCTAATAAGGAGAACTGAGTATTGTTAACTGCACCTCCCTATGCACACTCACCCACCTGTTTTCAGAAGCGGTGCTTGTTATTTTAAAACTCTAAGAGTTATGAAGCTCTTACTTCCATTGGCCTGCCTCCCTAATGCCAATACAACTAGGATGTAAGAGAGGGGTAAGGGGGCAGTGCTCCTAACGAGTTTTGTGGTAAGTAGTCTTTCTTTTTAAAAAAAAATAATAAATAAATCTGATTTTTTTAAAGTCAAAATATTAGAACAAGCTTTTGTTTACACAGACCTGCACTCTTTTTACTCCCCATGTCTAGTGATACTTAAACATTGCCTACATTTGCAGCTATTTTTGTGAAGTTGCATATTGCTTCAAATAGTTCACAACTGGTAGTTAAAAAGGATGTATTAAAATGTCTCGAAAGTAAAAGGTTTGCAACTTCCACCTGCAAGAACTAGGCTTACATGTGACTTTAAAACTGAGAAGCAAGGCACACTTGATTGCAAAGAGAGAAGAGCTATCAGGTAACAGTCAATGTTAATTAAATATCCATTTCATTCACACAGCGCAATAACAATAAAATGCTTAGTGATAAAATGTAAAAACAATTTAAAAATATCTTTACTAGGAGAATTATGTGCTAGGGCTTATAACAGTTACCACTGCACATATTTCTGAGGTAAATTTAGGGGTTTAAAAAAAGAAAAAGAAAACTTACCTCGTGGAATCCTTCCTGTTCCCTGGCAGGTAGGACAAGTGACACTGTCCCTTCCTGTGAATTCCACGTACGGAAACTGCGATACGTCCCCACACCTGCCATCCTCATTGTGCAGCTCAGAGTGAACTAACCCGTTCCTCATATTATCTGACACTGTACCTCCATCGTAGCCATCCTCCTTACACGTATGCATCGGTAGATGAGAAAGAGATTTTCCCATGTCTAAAATAAAAGGCAGAAGAAAGTTTTTTCACTGGAGAACAATTCAAATATGGCTTGCAATTTATTCCTCCACGTCAGGTAGCTGTAAGTCTATGGTCACTAGTCAGCCTAGACTCCTATAGCCTTCTGTGTGGTTAGATACCTTACAATTTGCAAACCATAAAGGCCCAATCAAGCTGGAGTCAGTCTCCAACTAAGAATCTGAACTACAGGAGACATCCATTCAGGTCCTTTGACACACACAGGTTAAAGGAGGACTGAGAGGTTTCCAAGGCAGAACAACGCAGCTGCTGCCAACACGTTGCAACACTCAAGTAGCACTGGATGAACTGGCACAGAATACATTGACCTCTGTATAAAATATTCAGGACTTAACATGCTCTAAAAAACAACTTCATGATGTTCAGTGGATTCTGCAAACACTACGGGCCCAACTCTACTAAGTTTTTTGGACTGAACTTGTTCTGGGAACACAGGATCAGCTATTAATTTCCAAGCTAGAAATACAGAACTTGAAGTGTTTAAACTGATGATTCTCTTTAACCCAAAAGAGGATTGATTCACAGTAAAATCTAGGGGAAAAACTGAGAGCTACTTAAATGTAAATGCAGGCAACATGTAGTGTTTATAAAAACTTGTCAAAAATATCAGTCACAAAACAGTTTTTGTTACCTCTGCAAATTTTATATTTTTCTCATGAGCATAGCTTTTCAGCAAAGCCACCGAAACAACCATGAAACACTCAAAACCAAAAACCACGAGGAAGTGATACAAGTGGCAGCCTTCCTAGCTTGCAACAGGTGTGGAACAATTCAAAGTTAAAAAGAAAAAAAGATCTGTTGAGTCCTTGGCAATCAGTTGTTCAGCTTAACCCCATAACACCCTCTAATTACCCACCACAGAGGCCCTAACCACACAATTCACTAGCATCTTGGGGAACAGGGGGATTTGAAATGAGTATGCAAAACTCATTCAGTTTTCCTACTGCAAATGGAATTTTTAAATGAGGTTGCTAGTAATGATCACGCTGGTCCACTGAGAAAGGAAGCACGAGGAGGAAGATTAAGGAATCAATGCAAGCCAGAATATTTTAAACCAACCACTCCAGACAAAACAGGAAGATCTGAAATATGCTGATGGCGAATGTAGGAGGGAAAACATAACTATTGCTGACAAGTCCCAGTTACTGTTTCAGCAAACACACAGTGTTATTTTATTCATTTAAGTAATAAGACCCTTATGGGAAGGAAAACTACTTATACTCATGTTGCCACAGTAATTTTGAAACAGTGCAGTTTGGGTGTCATTCAATAATGGAAATTATTGAATTGAAAATTGAAGCTATTGAAGAAAAAGCAGTTGAAATTTATTCCACACATGGTTTTTGCTTACTGTTGTCCCTGTAGCTTACCTATGGCCTTTAAACTACAAAACTCAAGTCGTGCAGCTTAGGCAACAGCCATCACATTGACAGGTCTGAAAGCTTTGGGATCAGTCCCTAGCCCTGCTGCATTACAACCACATTCAATTTACCTGCTCTACTGCTGGTAGACTCAGGCTATGTCAACATTAAAAGTAAATACAGAGCAATAAAAGCAAGTCTAGAAATAAACAGTTATTGAGGATCTAACATCCACACTATGCTTGGTTTTGCAGGTTTTATTTCATACCACCTCTAGCTGAGACTGAACACCCACGTGTAACTGAGACATACATGTATCTTCTAGTTTTAACTTCTTCCAAAATGAAGTGCTGAGACACTTTCTGATCACACTGTGATGTGAACCAAAGTGCAGCAAGTGAGGATAACCACAAATTCATTTCACACCCTTGATTTGAATTAAAATAGTAATGCAGATGTATCCCCCAATGTCAAGTGTATCTGAGTTTCAATAATTAAAATTTAATAGTGTTTTTCTGCCATCAGAGACTTAGAAGACATGTGCCCCAGTTTACAAATGAGAAAACAGACAACAACCTCCCAGTGAAACATGTTCCTCCAGCATGCACTCTGCACCACTACTATACCTGATCAATGCCTAAAAACACCTTGGTCTTTCACCCAGTGCTTCCATGCTGAACAACAGCAACTCTGAGAACATCTTTGTACCTGACAGCCTCCATCTCGTGACCACAACCTCAAGCCCAACTTTCTTAATTAACATCTGTGCTTCACCCCAGCCTCTCACTTGTAACTGATATACATGTACGTGCTCCAGTTTCCCTGAACTCATCTCAAGTTTCCTTGAATTCTGTTTGTTAGAGAGAACTCATAAGAAAACGTTGTGATAAGGCGGTTTTGTTTAAGGCTGCTCCCTTCAGAGTGCTCTGGCACTCCAGTACAACAGAACACAACAAAACAAAACCCAAGTAACCTGCTAAGAATAGAAAACAACCACATCCTGAGTCACATGTGAAATTTACCAAAACCACTTTTTGTTTATGAACTTGGGGAAAAAATTTGTGGAGTTAAACTAAACTGCCCTACTTTCCCAAATAAACAGCTGGGGTGCCTGTTCTTACTTCTTTGCACATACATAAACTTGAGATTAGAGACCTACTTCGTTTTTGAAAATAACACCCGGCTTTTAGGCCCCACAACCTGCTGCCGGCTGCCGGCTGTGGCTGCTCAGCAGCACGGCAGGCTTCCCAAAACAGCGGCAGGAGGCAGGCACAGCCATGACTTGGCAGCCCCAAACCTGCCCTACTGGGGCAGAAAGATCCCGCGATGTGCGACCCAAACCATAAACACACCTCCCCCCACCCGCCCCGGAAGGCTGGCGCTCCCCAAATTAACCAACTCGGGACGCTGCCGACGCCCCCACATTCACCCCCAGGGACCCCGCCACGCACACATCGGGCTCTTTGCACAAACACCCCAGCGGGCGAGGATCACGGCGACCCCCGCCCGAGCTGGGCCAGCTCGGCCCCACCGCCAAACGCGCCCCTCCTCCCCCTCCCTACCGGCCCGACCCCACCGGGCCCCGCCGCTGCCCTCGGCCCGGCTCCCCCCCCGGCCCCGCCGCCGCCGCCCCGCGGCTCCCCCCGGCCCCACCTGCGGCCGGGCCGGGCCGGAGGCTCCGGGCACGACGCAGCAGCGGCCCCGGCGCTGAGCCTCGAGCGCAGGCGCAGGGGGCGGCGCCGCGGTTGTTCGCAAGGGCCGGGCCTGCTGGGGTTGGGGGGGAGCCCGAGGTTGCTGGGGAGCCGCTGCCCTCAGGGGTGGCCCCGCTGCGGGGTCTCGTCCTGCCCGCTCGGCGCTGGGGTGCCCGGGTGGCTCCTTCACGGGGCTCGGGGCAGCCCCCGGGCCTGCTGCTGCCGCAGCACAAAATGGGGCGCGCCGCGGGGCCGGGCTGTTCCCAGAGCAACCCTAAGATGGGGGAAAAGCGTTGGAAGTAAAACCGAGGATAAATGATGAAGATAAAAGGAACTGGCTCGGTCCCTCCTCCAAGTGGAGGGCAGAACGGGTTTCCTAACTTCCAACAGCAGTTCCCTGCCCTGCCTGCGGTTGTACTTCTCCCCTCCTCCACATAAGCTCTGCGTAGCTTTCATCTCAGGAAAAAAAAAATAATAAAAAAGTGCTTATTTTTCTTTCCCCCGCTGATCATGGTGGTATCTTAATAGCCAGCATCGTTATTTTCTGTTCCTTGTTTGATCAGCTCTAGTGGAAGGAAGTTACCGCACTGTGCTCCTGGGGAAACTAGGAGCTTGAGCAAGGAAAGCTATAGCAGGCCAGCGAAAAAAATAAGGTGGTAGGAAATGAGGCACAACACCACTGTCAGGGGCTGCAATTTGGCTTTATAGCTCACGTTGCATTTTGCAAGTTCTTGCACAACCAATGTTTATTCAGGGCATGAGCGGTGACATGTGCTCTGAGCATTTTGCCAGAGCAAAATGAATAAAGTATATTGAAACTGAATGAACTCGAGGTTGTTGCTGTCCTTTGTGTGCTGGTATCTGGTCCATGATGTGGTTACCCAGTGTCTGTGGTGACATAAAGAGACCACTCAGGGGGTTGTAGTGCAGCCAGGGAACAAGAGGCTGCACGGAGGGGATGCAGCTGGGAACGAAGGAGATGGAGGGCCAGAGGAGCTCGGCCCAGCTCAGGAGCTATGGTCCAACTGCTGAAATGAATCAGGCCACTGAGGAGCAGAGGACCTGGAGGAAACCACATAACAAAGTCCGAGGGCAAGCATGGGGCAGGTTTCAAGGGATGTGATAAGGAATCAAGGTCATTATGACAGCATGGGGCGGGCATGAGGCCAGGACAGGGTGCCAAGCTGCTTCAGATGCTGGGAGGTGACACACGGCCTCCAGCATCAACCCAGAGCTGCTGCAGGTGTGAGCCCTGCTGGTAGAGCTCATGCCTCGCTCTGTGTCCAGGGAATGATAAGCAAAAAAAAAACCCTCACCTGCACAAATATGCACTCAGAAAAAATCAATAAAAATGGTCTGCATGTTTCTTGACCAGGGCCAATGCTGTTCCATTTATTCCTTTTATCCTTGGAACTTTCTTGTGTCTTCTGGGAGTTTTAAGAGGTCACATCCAGCAATTGTCCTTACCCCTGGTTTGCCAGTTCAAGTAAAGGAGGGGCCTGCATGCTGCTTAGTGGGGATTCTACTTCTATAGCCAGGCATGACTGAGATCCTGAAAGCAGGAGGCAAGAACTGGCACAGTTCTTGTCCCTCTAGTTAGACCTTCATCCAAAACTTTGGCCCATCACTGTTCAAGTTTTCTGAGGTGCCAACACAAAACTGTCAGTGCAGCATGGTTGACCATGGTATTTTGTGGGTTCCTAATTATAAAATGGTGTGTAAGAAACTAAAAACAGAGTCCTGGCATGTTCGGGAGCGATATATGAACGTGGCACGTTCAGCAGCAAGTGCCAAATGATGTTAATTTGTAGGCCTGGCTATTGTCTTCATGGGCTCTTGGTTTTTGGTTCTGCCTCAACTTTATATTGTCCCAAGGAGCACAAACGCTGTCATAGTTGCCAGCTGTTCAAACAGAAAGTAAGAACACTTAGTCTTTGCCTTTTGAACAGTTTTAAATAATAACGACAGTCAGGCACGTTGACCTGAATCATTATCCTACAAGGGACATGAAGAAAAATTCTAACAAAAAGGTTTTTGGAATTGTCATACCAAGTTCTGGCTACTCAAATTATTCAGTCTGATAAGTTCTCTCAGTACAAATTTATTCAAGAGAAATACTCCTGGTGAATTTGAAGTAGCACGCAGACTTCGATCAAATCAGATTTTTGCACCTATGACTCTAGCAGTTTTTATCCAACACTTAAACTAATCCATAAAGCCAAATGCATGCAGGTCAGGGTGTTATAACATTGCCTGGGAAACTGTTTCCCTTGCCATGATAGATTGCAACAGTTGAAATCTGCATGGCTTTTGAGATAGTTCTCTGTTAGTGTAATCAATAGAGACTGTTTCTTATTAAAGACATTTCCAACTTGCCATCACCTTTCCTTCTGTAGCTTTGATTCATGCAGAAAGTGTTTTTGTTTGTTTGTTTGTTTTCTTCTCTCTCTTCTAAAGTTTTCATGATAGAAGGGAACGTACCTCTGGATATTTCTTTGCTTTGTGCTATTTTCATTTAGAAATTATGTGTTAAAGGTAACTTAAGAAGGAGAAACAGAAACACTGGAAGGATCTTGCTCACCCATTAGGTGCCTTCAGCTCCTTCATAATTATCTTAAGTATCACATGCTTGTTGTAGGCTGAAGTAATGCAATAAAATATGAGAATAAGCAATAATATGAAGGTCCTGTAAAGTGTCACACCCACTATACAGGCTTGAAAAACACGTAAAGTATGTGCTATACTGATAGCAAGATGTATGCATTAGAACTACACTCGAAGTGCTTTAGATATGTGATGAGGTGCTTGGAAGTGGTACTGAAGTGGGCCACTGGGCTTGGACTGATTGAGACAGCATGCCTTTGGTTATGGAAAGGGTATTTTGTACTGAGGAAGTACAGACTGCACAATATCCAGTACTGCTAGTTCATGAAACTGATTAGATTATGCTAATCATGACTCGATTGGGACTGCATGCTTAAACACAGACACAGAAATTAATCAGTTAAAAATGTGTGATAGGCATATGGTATGAATGATACTGTGAGGGGTATGAAATGGAAACAGTCAAATGGCAGAAACAGGGAAGTTGAGATCATCACCTTTGGACTGAGTTATGGGACAGCTGAGAGTAATAAGAGCTCTTGGTTCTCATAGATCACTAACCAGGTTCATTTTATACTTCTGATAGTACATCAGTAAAGAAATAAAGTGATGAATCTGGCTTCAAGTTGAGTTTTGTGGCTGGGATATGACAAGTGAGTCAGGTCCTTGAAAGAGCTGGAATTAGCAATCTCCACAGCAGTCAGTTGCACCACTGTGCACCTGCATGACCTCAGAAACACCAGAGATGAATTAAATCTAGTTCTTCTTTCCCTCCAGTGATGAATATCAACCCAGTAGCATTATTTATCTGAAGAAACTTAAGATTGGCCACATTTATTTCACCCTTCAGAAATAAAAGCTCTGGTTTGGTGAGCACTGAAGGTAATGAAACCTGGTCTCCTATGGATTTACCCCTTGGCAGACTATTTACCTGAATTATAACAAGAATTTCTGTTATGACCACATGCACCTAACATCTTCTCCTGCAGAGTGTTCTGGCAGTAACATGTAGGCCACCACATTCAGAAACAGAATTTTGTAGAAATTTGCTGACTGGATAGAAAGTTATTAAGTATTAACTTGTAAATGTTCAATCCCTCATCTCTTCTGCCTGGTTATCTATCTTTATGAAATTTGTATAAACTTTATTATCCCTCAAACTCATCTGAAACTGGCTATCACCTTCAAAGTTATAGAGTGATTGCATAGACCTTGTTTTCATGTAGCCTAGCAGGTTGAAAATGGGTGTCATGCTATCTGAATGTGAAGCTAGACATGGAACCCATTTGTATCATCAACTCATCTCCAAGTCCAGAAACTTCTCCTCAGAAAAAACAAAACAAAACAAAACAAAACAAAAACAGCTAACCAATCAACCAAACAAAACATCCCAAACCCAACAACAAGATTGTAAAAACAGTGATTTCTGTCTAATCTAGAATATAAAGTAGCAATATGATTGTGGCCACTGACCTGTTGCTGATGGGAGAGAAGGCATTTAAGAAAGCCCATAACTACTTTAGGATGATCATTATTACTGATTTATATAAAGAAAATAATCATTTGAAGAACTGCTACAGTTGCCTATGTGGATTATATTCTTCCTCCGCCTTAAATAGCCCCAGGAATGCTCACACTGACATGTTATAAAGACCATGTTTTCTTAAACTTCTCTCTATTATTTGTTTATGACAGCCAAGAGAAAATGGTGATTCTCTATAATGTGATTTTTATTTTGAGAAACTCGGGAAAGAGGTATAAGTTATCCTGGTAAAAATTAAAAACAATCCTAATTTTTAGTTATTTTACCCCTGATTCATTAAAATGGCAACAGTCTTATTTTATTCACAAGTCATCCCAGTCCCATTCACCAGACATAGCTATACAGTGTTTGCAGTGGTTACTTGTGCCAGGTTTCATTATTGAAAAGTAGCTGAAGTCACAGTCAGGCCAAAAAAAAGAAAAAAAAATACAGACAGAAAAAGAGAGAATTCTGCTGGGCTATATACCAGTCATTCCAAATGTAGGTGTATGTAATCTGAAGCAACCTTACTTGAGGCACAGGATAATAGGACAATAGGAAAGACTTGTGACCCAAATCCACCCAGTGTATTTGATCAGCAACATGGCACCGGATGGGATGGGCCTCTCTCGGAGAGGGGTAAGGATCTTGGGTCAGGAGTTGGCAGGGCTGATAGATAGGGCTTTAAACTAGAGTCGAAGGGGGAAGGGGCTAAAACCAGGCACGCCGGTGAAGACCTAAGGGATGGTACGCTAGAATCAGAGGGGCTGTGTGCCAGTGAGGTCCTTCGGTTCGATCCACAAGGTGCTGAGTGTAAGGAGACGCACCTGAAATGCTTCTACACAAACGCACGCAGTATGAGGAATAAAATGGATGAGCTAGAAGTCCTGGCCCAGTCCCGCAACTACGACATCATCGGCATAAGCGAAACCTGGTGGGATGAGTCCTGTGACTGGGGTGTTGCGATAGACGGTTACAGGCTCTTCAGGAGG